CTTAATCAACCCTACCTTTGGTTATGGTCACAATGAAAAGAATCACCCTTTACTAAATGATGCTGATTTTTAAAGATGATTCATACCCTAGGTGACTGTGAGATGTATCATATTTGGGTTGGGTTTGCCAAGAAACCAAGTGCCTTGAATAGAATGATCAACAGGTTAAGGAACAAATCCAAATCTGCACAACCAATTGATGCACCTTCCCAAACATTGTGAAAGACTCATTAAGGGAGCATTGGACCATTATTTCTGATAGGCAAAAGGCAAGTACTTTCCTCTTTGTGTTTCAATTTTTTGATTGTTTTGCTATGATATGAGTCTATCCCTAAGTAAGCTTATAGTGTTTGCATTAACCCAATTCCTGACACACAGCAATGGCCTGCAGATGAGTCAGGTACAATCATCATGCCTCCTAAGATGAAGAGGGGAATTGGAAGACCAAGTAGGAATAGAAAGAGGGAGGAAGGTGAAGAGCAACCTGGAAAAAGGTCCAAAACAGTCAAATGTAGCAAATGTGGTTGCTTTGGCCATAATAAGACAACTTGTAAGGGAGGGTTAACTGGGAAAGAACTGAAGTCAAATGAGCCTGTTGTCATAAAAAATCCTAGGGTCAGAGACCAAAGTAATGCAGCAAAGGCAGCTAAGGCAGCAAAGAAATCTGAAGAAGTTGGATCTCAGTCTGCAGCTTCAGCTAAACAAGCAAAGGGACAAAAGGGCAGACCCTCAGCTGAGGAAGCAATAGTACTGACAACTTCACAGTTGCCTAGCCAACCAGTGCCTATGTCTCAATGAAAATCAAATTCTCCAAGCTCCTAAGTCTTTTGTTCTGCAGTATAGTGGCATATGCATTTTGATAATTTTATATAAAGTCAAAACTTGTAGTTAACTCTGTTTTTTTGTCATTTGGGATGATTTTTGCTGTTGTTATTTGGTAATTTAGTAGACAACTTTACTATTGAAAGTTGGATTTTTGCAGTGTTCCCAAATAACCTATATATATTAATGAATGTTGGCAACTGATGTCATTTTGTCTATTTCAATTTGTCCCACATTTTAGTTACTTTGTCTATTTTAGTTGATCTCAATATTAAACATACACAGTCAATGATAAGTTTGCAGCAATGTCAGAAGAGAAGATAAGTTTGCAGCAAGGGAGCTTTAATGGAGATGAGATAAGTTTGTAACAATGGAAGAGAACTTTAATGGAGAATAGAAGAGGGGAAAGTGGCTTTTGTTTGGGAGGGAGTAGGGTTTGAGAAGTTGGAGGGAAATAACAGACAATTTAAGGGGAAAAATTTGGAGGGAATGGATTAAAAAAGGGGTATATTAGTCATTTCATCTTTTACTAAGCTTAAGATGTTAATTTATCAAGTTATTAACGTCTGATTAACAGACTTAGGTACGTGAATTATAAAGTCAAAACCTTGGGTGTATCAGCAGGAAGTCAAAAAAAAATGTGGTACCATTGAGAAAAGTCAAAACCTGGAGTGTATCAATGGGAATATCCCTAAAAATAATTATGCTTACACGTTGTTTTAGGCGTCTTACAATTAATACCTTAAGATTCTCTAGATTTTCTGGTGTCGTTAGCTTAATTCTATACTATTTAATTATTTAATCATTTATTTTTAGTCAATTGTATTTTTTTTTATTTTTTTTTTAAATCGAAGTGTTATTATGTTTTTACTTAGTTATCACTTTATTGTAAAAAAACAACTTTTAATATTCATAAAAGCAAGCGTAATTTTTTTTATTAAATAATAGTTTCGTAATAGTTTTCTTTCATAGAAAAAGAAACATTAATTAATACAACACGTTACTCAATAAAAAAACTAACCAATTAAAATATAAAGTAAATACAGTTTCCTAATTAAATTAAATTATGTATAATAATGTCTTATGAGAATAAATGATGGATTATTTTTAATGATTTAATATTAATTAATTGTCTTTAAAAAAAATTGCATATTAATTACCATGTAAAGCGGTTAGATACATAATTCAAGAAGATAGATATTCTGCCCGCCTTCGTTTCATTTTCTCCATTTTCACTTAGAATTCAAACGTTTCTTCACATTTGCTCCTCAGTTATCCTCTGTAATCACTTCAAACTATTAGTATAATTCTAAAACTTCAAAGTAACTGACTTCATCAATGACTCAACACACCATGGATGCGTCTGGAGAATCGTAAGTGTCTTAATCATTTTGTAGACATAATTTCATGCATTTAAATTATTCCCCGATTGTAGTAGAACTTTGATTCTGAGAATTGAAAGCTTAGTGTTGAACTCAAATTATGATTCAATTTGCAAATTAATAGGGTTTTATAAGAGTGTAGTTAATTGTACACTGGTTTATTGATTAGCGATTTACATAACTCAATTTGTTTAATTGGCATTGCTATTGCATGTTGTTCCGACTGCTGTTTTTCGTGGGGGAAAAAATTAGAATTATTAATTACATAGAATGCTTTAAAACCCCAACAGGATCGTCCACTGTGAATGCTTCACGGTTAGCTAATTAAATTGGTATTTTGTGTTAATTAATAATGAAAATTTATAAAAAAAAAACTAGCCTTTCAGTAGATTAAATAACAGATGTTTCCATGTTACTTTCATGTGGGTCTGAAGCAATCCAAAGGACGTTCTAAACAACGATCCTGCATTGAATAATTGGGTAGATGTCACTACTACGACATCAGTAATTGCGTCTGAGTCTGAGGTAACAATTTATAATTTGCTTGATATCTTAATGTTCTTAGAAGCGATATTTTAGTTAGAATAATTTGAGTAAATTTTCTACTTGACAACATCAGATTGAAGCACCAAATGTTCCTGGTCCCGAACACAACAAAGTTACAGAAGATGCACATAGCACTAACCCTAATCCTGAAAGTGAAGTAAGTCCTGTGTTCCACCAAAGTACTTCGTATTTATATTTACAATTGACTGCAATGTTTTGCAAGATTGATTAGTTCCTTTTGGATAAGAAGCAATGGTAATTGTTAATAGACACTAAGAAACCAAAAATGATACATTTTATGTAACACTGTAGCAACAATAAGTGTTATCGCCCATTCTGAAGACCTAGTGAAGTGTATATTTATATTTTGTCACATTTTGTGCAGACAAATGTTTCAGGGGAGGCAGGGTCACAGAACGGTACTATCATGGATCATAGTACTGAGACCCATGACAAGGCAACAACGGGTTTGGTACTCAACCAATTACCGACTGGATCAGAGAGATCATCGAAGGAATCAAATGCATCTTCAGTAAGTTCACCATTACTCTATTCATACAAAAATGATGCATATTTAAATTATTATGTTGTGTAAAATTTGGGATATTTTGTTATTATGTGTAAAAAAAAGCCTCCAGCAGAAGGGAATGGTGGAGAGGGTGAGACTTATGCCACCGATGAGGGTGAAGATGCAGTTTTGGGAAAGGAATCTAGGGCAGCTGCAGTAAGTTAACCCTGACTCTCTTAGTACAAAAATGATTCAAGCAATTAACATTGTATTGTATAAGATTGGGAATGAATCTGAAAATTCTGTTTTATGTAAATAGGCTTCACTATTAGGGGATGTAGGACAGGAAGCTGGAGCACAAGGTGGGGATAAGCCTCATGTTCAAAGTGGATAGGGAGTTGGGGATGAGAACCCAGAGCTTGGTGGAAATGAGTTCGGGGATAAGAACATACAGGAAGAGGTAAGTTGTTACCTAATTTCTCTTTGATTATTTGATAATAGATCCAATTATCAAAATGTACATCTTATAAGATTTAATATAAATGAATGAGTTGCTTTGTCACTTACTAGGAACCCCCAGCAGAAGAAAGCAGCAGAAGAAAAAGAAAGCAGCGTCCCGGAAAAGAAAAAGCAGTTGAAAATGTCGTTCCAATTGTCATTACGGAAGGTGAAGAAGAAGAAACTGAACCAACAAATAAGAAAAAGCGTGGAAGGAAATGCCTCCCCGATCACAAAAAAAAAAGCTTGTACGTGTTATATCTTAAATTATTAAATATAAATTTGACAATGTTGGTGGTATAAATTACTATACCTGATTACAATGTACTCGTTAAAATGACAATATATTATATGATGCAGTATCCTGTTATAAGGATTTATCCAGACAGATTTGTCGACGAGGTACCTAAAGGCACTACTCAAAAGGAGTGGATTAGGGAGGCTGGATTTTCCACATTTTTGGATGTGAAGTTTAATGAACTTGACCGGTTTTTTCTATCGTGGTTAATGGGTCGGTGGGATCCTGAAACCCAGTTACTACGCATTAGGGATGATTATGAGATCAAGATCACTGATGAAGTGGTGGGGTGGATATATGGGCTGCCGTTCAATGATTATACATTCACTATTGAAGTAAGTGTTACAGGTAATAGGATAAGATTTTATAGCTTTGGAAACAAATTATGATAATGAATACACTTTATATAACCTCCCATTGTATAGATCGTATAATGTGAAATTTGAACAGATTTGTCCTTATGGTGTGTACAAAATGCAGAGGACAAAGAGTACAAGAAGCTGAAGACTTCCTATTCCAACAGAGGGGGTATAGGTTATGGCATTGTTCATGCTGATATGACAGAGAATCTAAACAACAAGGAGAGGTTCTTGCAGTCCTATGTTTTGTATGAATTTGGCAACCTAATATGTACGACTCTGAACAATTGGATTAGTCCACTTTTATGCTGGATTTTGAAGTCGCGGTACCTGGAAGATGCACGGAATTGGAATTTTTCAAAGTTTGTGCTTGACTGGATGATCAAGCAGCACAGATAACTGGATGCAGAGAAGGGTGGCGTCAAGGGATCCCCCATCGTGCTAATGGTAAGTCATCTTTTACTTTACTAGCCTAGTCATATTTGATTGTCACATAATAATATTGTCCTGTACAGATTGCATACCTTGACAGATTGAAATTAGGCGATAAAGGGCATCAGTGGCATACCGATAGACCAAGGCTTGGAATGTGGCAGCAAGCTGATATTGAACGCGTGATTCGTGCAGACACTGCTGCTGATGGGTCATATGGTGCAGCAGAGGTAATTATTGTTTTTTTATATACAAATACAAGTTGAACGTCTCCTACATGAGGTTAGGGACATGCTTTTGATCTGTTGAATTTTGTTTAGGTTGTTAGGGATGTTGTGTATGGGAAAGAATACCCTATTGGTCTGCGGAAGGACCTTCTTGTGTGGATGACGAGTCCGCCTCCTGTGAATCCTAAAGTTACCGTCGTGGAAAGGAAAAGAAAGAGACGGAAATGTAGAGCACAGGTCAGGGACTTGAAAGAATACAAAGACATTCAACACTATAGTTCATCCAGATAAGAAGAGGTAGTTTGAAACCGAGTGTGACTAAGTTCATAGACTGTTACTTACCAGATTACTGATTAGTCGAACTTTTCTTAAAGACAAGCAAGGACATGAGGAAGAGGCCAATGCAGAACGAACTCAGAGGAGTAACAGAAAAAAGACAAAGAATCAGGTAAAAGTTGTGGTCTTAACTTTGGTTGATTTGTTTGCTAATTATTGCTAACTGAGTCCTATTGGTTGTAAATATCTTTCAGGAACTTCGTGTAGTTCCACCTTCTTTAACCCCTGCACGGGTTAAAAGAGCAAGAAGCAGGTTGATACAAAGGCAAACACCGGTTGAAGGGGATAAAAATGTAAATTACTTGCATATAAAGTTTATGACATTGTGTTTGAAAAAGTTTATCATTTCTTGCCTATAAGTATATAATTATTAGGATCATTTTACATATTATAGTAGCTTATTATTCATAAAGGCATGATTTTTGTTTCACAGGTACAAATGAAAACAAGGGAAACAAGCACCACTGGGAAAGGTGGCAGAACAAAAACAAAGGATGTTATCTCAAAAAAGAAAAGGACAAAAGGTAAGAAAGAATCAAGTGAGGATGATTTAAGCACTAAGAGCAGTAGTGAGGATGACGAAGCTGATGACGATGATGAGGAGAAGGATAGGAATACGGAGGACGATGAGGATGATGAAGAAACTGCAGTGATGATGGGAGTGAAGGAGAACCAGGAAATAATGGTGAAGATGATGATGAGCCTAATATAGAGGCCACAAACCCCAAATCTGGGAGAGGAGATGTGGGTGGGCCTGATAACGAAAAGAATGGTAACGGGGGAAATGATGGTGAGGAAGATAAAACGGTGGAAGATGATGGTGGGGAAGGCGGGGGTGATGATGACCGAAATGAAAAGAATGCAGAACCAGATGTGGACTGCAAAAGCGATTACCTCAACGACCTTGATGACAATGAGGGCTTGCCCCAGATTTTTGATCATTAGCGACGCAGCATCACGGCGATCTGTGACAGAAAGTCAAACTATACTGGGTCAGTAACAACTTTTGCCATAATGCTTATATGTGTACCTTCATGTGTTGGAGTAGATTATGATAAGTGTTTTAATCAAACAGGTTTAAGGATCAGATTTTGTTCAAGTGGTATGATGTAACAGTCAACCGTCAATTGGTACACAAAGCATGTAAGAAGAAGTCTCCCATTCCAATAGAGGTAATGATTAAATTATTAAATGATTACCTCTCTTTCAAACAGTATGTGTGGGGAACATTTAAAGTAAAAGACATAATTAATATTGTGTTATACAAAAAATAGGTTATGGACGCATTTGCAGTTTACACAAACAACGAAGACTCCGGTACTGCAGATTTTGGATTCTACGTCTTTAGGCCATCATTTTTGGTACGCAATTTGTGCTGTATATTACCAAATTCAAATATTAAGCTACTGTTTTATAGTTGGCTTATTTAACTTTTATATCATTAGCTTATGTTTCCAGTGCAACCTACTGGAAGAGGATGCAAAACCTAAGCTTGTTGTTGAACAACTCTTGATCGATGAATCGGAAATGATCGACAACTATTTCTTGACTGGAGGGAGAAAATTCAAGGATAATCGGAAGGTGTGTCTTCACTTCTAACTCTATGTTAACATTAGAACAGAAAAACTGTGTTATTCATTGATCTTTCCATACCCAAATTCTATAGATTGGTTGTGTATGCTAACTGAATCAGAACTTGTGGATTTGTGTTACATATGGGACATAGGTGATTATTCCCATATTTGTCGATGGAGGATGGTGTGTTTACATTCTCAATGTGGAACGCAAAAAAGTATTTATAATTAATTTCCAAAACACGACTGAAGAGGATGAGGATGAAGAAGACAAAAGGAATGAGGATAGGGTATTGGTATTGGTAAGAAGGCTAATTATGTGGTGAACCAGTTTCATGTAAATGTTTTTGGATAATCTCATGAGACCCATATTGATTGCTAATTTGTTTTTTTTTTATTAATTCTTTAAAAAAATGAATAGGGAAAATACTTTAAGCAGATTCTTGGACTGACAGTCAATGCACTCTTGGAAGGTCCGTCACCAGACGTTGAAACGTATAGGTTTGTCAAGTGTGAGGACGTACCAACAACAAAATCAGTCCATGAGACGGGCATGCTTTTTATCCTCTTCCTCTATAGTCAAACCCAGTCTGTTTTCTCATGGCTTTGTGTGAGTATTTTTTCCAGTAAAATGTTTAGGTTTCTTATTTTACCAACAAAATATCGTCATCAAAATGGTCCTCTTATTTGCAGATGTATGAAAAGAATGATCTCCTGTTTCAAAAATTCATGATGTGGAGGATGTTAATGGGGACGTGCAATGAAGTCAAGAACAACCTAGATGGTCTACTTTTGTAGATTTGGGGACATTTGAAGTATGAACAATTTATTTTCTATGTTTCAAGTCAAATCGAACTAGGTAATTTCTTTAAGCAGAAACTTTTAACTTTTTATTCTTTGTCGTTTTTTTAAACAAGGGAGTAGTCTAAACTATTTAACATTTCCTCCTTTGTCCTTTATTAAACAGCATCGCTGTGAATTTCTACAAATCATAGTATTATATTTGGAGTCATATTATTATTTGTAGAATCATATCATAAATCAGCATAATGTCTATAATCGCATTTTATTGCATTTAGAATTAGTTGTTAACATTCTTTAAATTACCACTTAGTTGCATAAGCAATACACAATGAAATGCAGAAAATTATAATTACACACATCCACCTATCAACAGTTGTTTTATCCATCATCTTGATTTGCAAGTCCATGTTTGCCTTTTTAATATTGACCAATTTGAGAACCAATGACTCGGAATAACTCTTCATCTCTAATATTTTCTCCCGTAACATGTTATTTTCTACCTTATACTTGTCTACCACGCACTTCAACAACATGCATTGTTCTTTTAGTTGTGTCAATGCAGTCCTTAAATTATTAGATTCAACCTCATTTGCTTCATCTTCCCAACAAAAATAACCACAGTCATCATCCTATGCATGAAAATCAATTCAATTTTATGCGTATACAAAATAACAGAATTATTTATGAAAAAAATTGGGGACATAACCTAACCTTCCAATATGAACAGCGGTAAAATTTCCGTCCGGCGTTAGATGTTTTTTTGCACACTAGTTTCTTGGCTGGTAGATTGTGCTTGCATGAATGTAAGCCGGAGTCATCGAGGTGGTAAGAAGAAGTGAATGATTCATTATTGGAGGAAGTTTCTTCAACTATAGTCATCTGAAAATTCAATTTTTATATGTATATGATTGAATCTTTGTCTCAAAGCCCTAATTATGTGAATGTCATTCAATTGTAGCAAAAGAGTAATTTATAGACAAGGTTGTTGACTGTTGATGATTCAAATATAACAAGTGACCGTTGGAAAAAAAATAATATTTTATTCCCATGATACATCAAATCAGATTCATGTTTAAAGTATCATTTTATCATTTACAGTTTGTTATACCGTTTACAGTATACATACAACTAATACAATACATTAGTGTACACAATTTTGATATAACGTATACAACAACATAGACTACAACTTTGAAGGTACACTATTGTGAGAACAACATATACCTACACATAACTAATGAAATTTTCCGTAATCAACATTGCGGAGTGTAATTCCCATATTTCATTGGGTATGGCTTTCCATAAACATCACCTTCAACGCCCCGTGAAACCAATGGTGCATGGTTAATAATTTGTTAGCTATCAAAACGAAACTAATTAACAACTTTATTTGGTAATATAACTAGGTTGCAATAATCTTGTAAATACCTTTGATTTTCCATAACGACCTTGGTGAATGTGGTCAGATTTTATTGCCTTATCAACACTGTCTTGTGTCCATTCACAAATCCTGCATCCATTAGCTTTCCAGTCTACGATACTTGCATGCCTTATCCGGTCTAGGTAAATAATCTGCATCAAATAACAACAGGAATCATCGGCTGTTTCTTGATTGAAGCATTAATTGAACAACATATCTTTCTTTGTTAAGGAAACGTACCACGAGTAAAAGTGCTCCGGAACCTAGCACCTCCCAATTATCACTGTACTTGGTAAGCCACTCCGCGCAGCGAATTCTCCTTGTAAATTTTTTTCAATATTTTGAATTATTCGTAGTAAGCCTTCTCTGGATAAAACAAGATGTCCCCACCAGGGACTCCTAAATCCCATCCCACCATTTCACTATCCACAACAATTGTCAAGTCCTCCCTTATTTTAAGTGAATGGGTTATAGGATCAAACCTTGAAACAATCTGTCTAATAAAGGATTGATCAATCTTTGTAACGGACAGATTAAGCAAGTTGCCAAAACCCATTTCCACGACCCAACTTCTTTGATCCTCATTCAACTTCCCAATTAGTTTAACAAAAGAACTAAGGTTCTTGTGGACACCACCAGGCTGTCACAATAAGCATGTTTAATTATATCAACGAACTAAAACTGTTAGGTGAAATCAAAACATAATTTGTATTCTCAGATGTCTAGGATCAAAAATTATTGTTGGAATCAGATAAATAATAATAATATGATATTAAATTACACAGCAACAACAATAATCTGTTATAAAACCACCTTCTACATACATCAACATAAAAACTAAACTTTAAAAATTACAGTCAAAGCAATTACAAAAAATGTGTACCTTTGGTAATGTTGCGGCATCAATTTCTGGTTGTTCTAGTATTTGATTAACTACCACATGTTTTACCCTTTTACGACAGGCCACATTCTTCTTCCTTCTACGAACCTCTGCCTTCAAAGGTTGTTTATGTATGATATATACATTAATCGTTTGACTGGTGAATGCCACCTCTTTTAATTTGTTAAAACCGTCTCCATCCACCAGATCCAGTAATTTGTCATTCATACATTTCAGAGGACCATATTTTATGCCATAAACATCATAACCAAACCCATCAATTAACGCTTTCAATCTCTCGTCCGCGAACTCATTTTCGATAAATTCAATGGTGAAGGATTCACCATGTTGGTAACAAAGTTCAGGATAAAAAATAAGCTTGCCACCATGGAAGACGTTAAACACTGCACTAGTAACTTCACCCATCTAAACTTGACGGCGTATTTGTTTCAATTCAATTCAAAAATTGGAGACTTAATTGATTATATAGTACTAAATAACCTAACAACCATTTTAATTGACAGTATAAACAACTCAAAAAATGAAATAATTAAGTGGAACACAGTGATGCAATGCATCCATGAAATTTGTCAGGGGAAGAACAAAAATATATTGTACAATATGAAATTCTCCATGAAATTTTCAATAGTATAAACCAGTTGTTTGGGCCATCCAAGAAATACATGGTTTGAGCCCATTTATATTGATTTCGTGAAAAAAAAAATTAACAGCTGTCCAAGCACCAGGAATTGAACCCTGGACGCGGAGTAAGTCAACAACATACATAACCATTTAAGCTACGGGTATCAGCACGCTAATTGCACGTTCAAAATATATTTTGATGGATATGAACACTACAATGGTATAAATATTTAAAAAATTTCCTTGGGATGTAGGGATCGAACCTAGCACTACGGAAATGGAGAACGCTATCACTATCAATTTGGTAAAGGGTTTCAGCACAAACATTCTCATAACACAAATCTATTTAACAACAAATAAAGTGTGGGTCGACTTTTCACATACCATAATAACAAAAATGATATTATAAACTAAATTATAACACTGAGTTATTTTCCGCTGTGACGGTGCCTGTAAATATACAAGGTACTCAACCAAATCAGAATTCATGGTTATAATGAACTCAAAATCAATAATCACCTTGATATCCCCATCGCCGGCAACAGGATAATTACAAAACATGCACAAATCGACGATGGAGAACATGCGACTATGGTTGTAAGTATTTCGGCCAACATCACAAACTTTTCCGGCGACTACTACGGTGGGGATTGGTTTGATGGAAAAAAAAAATTAAATGGTTGGTAGGAAGTTCAAGTATAGTTTGAAATTTGAATTAAAAACCTTACAAAATTTACATAAAATTTCATTTCAATTTGAATTGAAAAAATTTAGGCCCACAAAAAAAAGATGTCATTTCACCCAATGAAAATGGAGTGTGCAAGATCCATTTACACACTGAGTGTGAATGTACTGGCTCCCATTTTTTAACACTGTTTTTGGTAAGATTATTTTCATTGTCAAAAAAAAATAAATTATTTTTATATATTTTTTTTATTGTTATGAAACAAGGAAGGTAGGTTTTTCCCTGTTTGGCAATTGGCTGTTTTAGTTGGCTGATTTGACTGGCTGTTTAGATTGGCTTTTGAGTTGGTTGTTTGACTAGAGTTGTAGTGTTTGGTAAATTGGTTGTTGGGTGCTAGCTGTTGTTAAACTATAGCAACACTAATGAACTAATATAGTTCTTTAATGTTAATTAAAATAATAAATTATTGGTAATTATAATTGTAAAT